TTTCCTGTACCAAGCCTGGCAGTGGAATATCCTCACAGAAATTTCTTACCTTTCTTGTCCAGCTGTGTCCCACAGCTGTAAGGCAACCTGGGTATTATCCACCATCAGACTCTTCACCCGGTAATCGATGCCTGTCAGGAAGGTAACAACGATCGTAGGGTAGGATGGGGAGAGAGCAGCTTGCCATTGCAAGGCCAATGGCCAAGATCAACGCTACTTAGGTTCAGGGAAATTGCAAGACTGATTCAAAACTGGGTGAGGGACCATCTTTAGTCGGGCTAAAAGCATGTGTCCAACCTGACTTTCCCACCTTTCCTAGCCCGATGAGTCCAGATCCCTGTTACTTACCGATGGTTGCATTGAGCTCAGCCAAGAACCTGTCATAGCAGAAGCGGTGGATGAAGGAACTCTTCCCAACGCCGGAGTTCCCTACAAACACCACTTTAAAGAAGCGGTCTGGGGAAGAGCTGGCTGGTTCCAGTGCCTGGAGCTACAGTGGAAGACAGAGATGTGGTTTTGAAATTAGTCTGCAGCTGCAGACTGCCCTTTGATTTAGGCACTGGACCCCCACACCACCATAAACCTATGGAGCTGGAGTTAGCTGGGAAGCGGCTCAGAAACCCTGATGTCCCTGGTAGCAGGTGTTTGAGGAAGAACCCCAAGCTATAAGACTCACCCTGGTTTCAGTGCCAACAGGCTGTCCTCTGGGAGGCAACGGAGCATCATCTAATCCATCTGCATTTTTTCTACAGTCAGCATCACCCTTCAAAATCATCTTCAACCACTCAGCATCCGCTGCCAATGACCGTCTCTCCCTGTCTCTGCTCTTCTCTCCGAAGTCTGCGCTGCCTCCTTCTGCCTTCAGCCACGTCCCGCTGCCTGGGAAGTATTTACAGTTCTTTCTGTTGGGTTCTTCCGCTGCCACATCCACTGGGAAGGTGAAGGGAAGGTCCGCAGAGGCCAGTTGTCTGTAGTAAAGCCCACAGGCACCACAAATAGTGGGGGGAGGGGAAGAGGAGGAGGTTGCAAATTCCCAAACCCACCAATGCGTTCCAGTTAGTGCATGTGCAACGCCTGCAGGGATCTCTATCTACTTCGTACATACACTCCCCAGAGTCCCTGTGCCTGAGGCATCAGCGACACCCCTAGGGAGGGACACAGCTCACCTGAGCGATGCTGTGCTCACCTGTGCCAACGTGTATTTCATTAATATGAATAAAAATTCCCACCTTCTGGATTTTTCAAGGATTCTTTGCCTCCCCAGTACTGAAAAATGAGGCAAAGCACAGAAAGGTGGCAACAGGCAAAATATTTAAATGAAAAGCAACAAGCCCCCTCTATTTTTGTTACCAAATGAGACACAAAACGAACAAGTTCTCGAGGTTAGTGGAAAGGGGTTTGGCTACAGGCAGGAGGTGAGGGCTGGTTGACCCTTGGGAGGCCGCAGGCGGCGTGTGTGCAGGGTTCTGCCCTCTGCTGAAACCCCACATCCCTGCCCCAGGAAACCAGCCCACTGCTTCCAAATGCTACTGTAGCAGAGTCTTACCGAGTTCAGGCAGTGGAAACCTGCCACAGGTGTGCAAATAGCAGTGAGCGTGCTCACACCAGGGTCCCTTGGCCTGCTGTTGGCTCTGCTCTGGCCTGCATCCACACATCCCCAGGCAAAGGAGCCAGAACCCAACAGATGTTTTGTTTTACAAAGCTTCCCACCAGCCATGCTGCGCTCTCAATGGCAAAACCCACCCGACCCCTGCCCAAGCTGTGGCTGTGAGGAATAGGTGCACTGTGCCTACACAAGGGCGGGCTGAGCGCTCTCTTCTCCGGGGGTAGAGCTGACCTGGGAAGTGGGAGAACAGTCTTCACAGGAGCTAGAATAACCAATTTAAACAACCGGAATTATTGCTGAGGAGCAAGGCAGCATCTTAGCTCTGCCTTGGCTTTCCATGGTTAAAGAACCAGAGGAAGGGAGCGAGAAGGCTTAGAACTCAAAGGGCTTTATCTACCACAGGTATCTCCATTGCCTTCGCTGGCCACCAGATTACACTTGGGAGCAAATCAGAGGGACCAGAGGCTTGCTACAGTCAATCTCTTCAGAGGCAGCACATCCCATCTCTCTCTGCAACATTTTCCTCTTGCTGCTAGTGCAGGAATCAAGGCAACAACCTCCTCTCTCACTCCTGCAAGCACACCTCATCAGGGCTGCAAAATTCACCTGCTGCCATGCCTACTCTTTTCCGTAAAAGGGAGCTCACATTCCTGGTTGTCCTCCCTCCATCTGCCCCAAATGCCAGCCCAGAGACAGGCCACCTGGAATCTCCCCCAATGGAAAATAGACGCATGCTTCCAGGCTCAGGGGAACGGCCCCCCATCACCCAGGGCTGGCAGGAGTTGCAGCAATGAGGGGCTGAGACTCAAAAGCCTCTTCAGGGGGGTGAAAAAGGGACAAACACAGGACTTTCTGAACAGTGACTGCAGACCAAGTGGATTTTATTCATATTTCTCAAGCAATATGGCGTGACAGCAGTGGGACAGAGACAGGGCCAACAAATACTTCTCCCCTTCTCACACCACCCTCACTGCCAGGCTTCTCCACCTGTTAAACCTTTCCAGTGGGTTTATGCTAGCAGGATCTTTGCAAGAAATAACTGGGGGGGAGGATGGGAGAACTTGGTTGTCTGATCCCGTGGTGAGGTGGTCTGCCACGCACACAGCCGTGACAGAGCTCTGCTTCAGACCTACCCGAGCAACCTCCCAGCCTGGGTTCAAGAATCAGCCCTCTTCCACCTGGTTTGTCATCAGCCCATGAGCCCAGGAGCCTGAAGCTCAATTCTTAAATGCCACTACCAGAACTGAAAGTATTTAAGGATGAGTTGAAGCTGGAAGAAAACTCTGACCCTAGACCTATGTCTTTTGTTGGCACCAGGAGAAACTGGGAAGTGGTGGAACCTTCTGCAGAGACCTGGTAGGAAACAGGGAAGCGTGCACTTTAAAACCTGTTTGGGGCCAGCAGTTGCAGGGGAGATCCAGCTCCAAGCCAGGTCAGGGCTGGGCTAGCCTCCCCTACCTCTCAGAGGAGCGAGGCTTCTGGCCAGTACCAGTGCTAGTCACACAACTAGTTTGCAAGGGTTGATGCCTAATGCCAGCACGGTTCATGCAAGCAGTCATACGCGGTCCAGTCTGCACGTAGAGGGAAGGGAGGGGGGAGGCCTTGGCCACAAAGACATGTTGGGCTGCCCTGAAGGGGAGGCCTGGTGTGCCAGGTAAGCATCTGCATAGTTGTGGAGGAAGAGGTGCACGATGAACCCACCTGGAGCTGGGCCCTCTCCTTGGGGCTTTCAGCTGCCAGGGAGAACACAAGCCTTGTGCAACTCCTGCCCTTTCCCATGCCCCAGGGATACAGGCTCTGGCAAGAGGTGCCAGTGGACAGGATTCCTCCACAAGGAGCAACTGGCACACTTGGGAGATGAGCCAGTATTTTAATGGAGCTGCCTGACTTGGTCAGAGGCAGCCTGCACACCTCCTGTCCCATGAACACTCCCACGGCTTCTGATGGCATCTAGGTTTGCTCACCCAGTGCTGCAGGCAGAAGCAGCTCAAGGGGGGCCACCCACCTGTGGAAATCAGCTAACAGCATCCTCAGTGGAGCCAAGACCACCTGATGTGGCACCTGGAGCCGCAGTCAACCCACAGCCCCCGCCATGCTCCCAAAACCAGCCAGCACCAAGGTGGGACAGCTAGACACAGGACACAGCTTAAGTGACAGGGTACTCCAGCGGGCACAGACTGATACCACGAACACAACACAGACCCCCATCTAACCGTTTGACCGGCTTGTCATCCAGCAGGTAACTGCCTAGCACTGACTCTTTCTTCACCAGGAGCTTTTTGCTCTGAGGTGCCTGGAAGTTGAAAAGAAAAGGGATGAAAAATACGATTAGGACCCAGGATCCTGACCAGCTCCAGTTCAACCACTCACGACCCCCGAGACCGCTTCGGGAGGCAAGGCTGGAGCCCTTGCAGCCCAGCAGCATGCAGAGGTAGTGCCCTGCCAGCACGCTTGAACAGAGGTGAGCAAAGGGCTTGCTTTTCTCAGTTCAGCTCGTCTAACTCATGCAAGAAGGCATTGATGCTGCTGCTTTCCCCTTTGCAACAAAATCCATCAAAAGTGGTGGTGCCCCAAACCCAAGTCTTCCTCTAGCCAGCCAGAGCTCATTTCTGTGGCTTGTCCTCCACTTGGTCTCACAGCAGAAACTCTTTCCAATTATGCTGATGTTTTGTGGGACAGTCCAATTACCCCTCCTCAGGAGGCGCTAGTACCCTTCTCCACCCAGAGCTGCACATGCACCACAGGAAAAAAAGGAGCCTGCTCTGCCAAGGGCAATGCACACGCTCTGCCTCACACAAATTCCTCTCTCCAAGCTTTCCTCCTACCTACCTCAGACTACACATTTCCTACAGCCAGTGTTCACCAGCTCCCCAGGGGAGAAAGCAGGAGATGTCCTCTCACAACCCTCTTCCCGCCCATACAGCAGTTTCGTCATCACCAGTGGAGTCAAAGACGAGCAACTTGCCCAAGATCACACAAGAAAAGCTGTGGCAGAGAGGACTGACCTGCCAGCTCCCCCAGATGCCATGCTAACGCCTAGCCTCCCCTCACCCCCAACCGGGCTGGCTGACTGTTCCGGCTACACACAGAAACTACGACGTGCGAGACAGCATGGCAAAGTGCCCGCCGCCTCTGCACTGGGGTGAAGGGAGATGTACTCCCTTGGTAGGTCTAGAGATTTGTGACATGTCCTCACAAGTTATTCCTGGGGGTAAAAGAAGAATCTGCAGCCTGACAGAGCTGCCTCTGGCAGCAGCTTTGAACTGACCAAACACTCGCAGGCAGCTCTGGACAGGCCTTCCTTTGTGCTGCCCACAGCCCAGGGCAGGACCATGGAGATTATTTCCTCAACAATCCCTGGCTTATCTTCCAAGGCAAGAGCCCCCCAAGCACGTTGTGACCCTCTGGCCAACACGGCTATCAGGCTGTGGGTCAGCCAACCCGTGGTTCTCCGGTGGGGCAGTTCTCAGGGTTTGAGCAGGTTCACCCAAAGGTACTCTCTAGACACACAGACACAAGGACATCGTGTTACAGCCCACTGGAGCCAAGTCGCAAGCTTCAAGTCACCTCTGGAGCAAAGGGACTCCCAGGCAATCTGCTACAGCACCACCCCACCTGGAGAGGAAGCAGACCTTGGAGTACGTACCTGAGCCAGAAAGGAGAAACAACGGGGCACATTTTGCCATTGGTTCTGCTATGCTTTATTGGCCTGCCAGGGTTGTGTAACATTTGGCTCTTCACTGGGCTGGTAAAGGGACAGACACGACATCACAGCGGTACAACACACAATCGGAAGGATTCCACAACAACCGCACGCGTACAAGCATTATGGATGGGAAAGATTCCAGTTTATCAGTGGGATAGGAAAAATTCTAGTTTATCAGTGAAATACAAATATGTGTCCAATGTAGTCAAAGTCCCAAACCACTCTCCATGATAAGCAGTCATGAAATTTGCTCTGTCACCCTACAGCATGAAAGCTTAACTCCACAGCCAGATGGGTCACGGGTGTGAAACTGAACCCTCAACCCCCGGATCTTAAAAGCACCCAGCAGTGGTTTGCACACAGGCAGAAATAGCCACACTTGCAGCTATCCGTGACCTAGCTACTGGGACAAAACAGTGCCCCACAGTGCCGTGGGGTCAGGGCCTGCACACCCTGGCAAGAGCAGAAACTCGTACGAAGAGCACGGTATGAAGCTGGGCACCCAGAAGCGCGAAGGAGCAGCAGCTGGGCTGCTCCCAGCCGGGTACAGCCCGACTCCTTCCAACCACTTCAAAACCTTTGCTGTGAAAGAACCACTGTTCATCACACCTTCACTTCACAGAAATAACACAACTCTTCCCAGCACTAACAGAGGGCATTAAGGCCTTGGGGTTATTTTAGCCTGAAAAGGCACTGATACACCCTGCCAGAGAGTGTGCCACGCACTAAGGATCCCCAGCAGAAAGCTGGGCTCTCCTTTTTGCTGCTGCAGGGGAGTATTGTTACTTTCTCTCCTTACATGGGACCGGCTAGACAACAGATCTTCTGCATGTGTATGACAACAGCAGCATCTCTGCAACCCCTTGGAGCCCTGCTTTCCTGTGGACTGAAACAGGAGTGGCCAACAAGATGTCCTGGCCGACAGCAGAAAAAACCTTACTCCAGTACAGGTTGCTTCTGCCCAGCTTGACACCCCATCCCTACGGCCAGCACAGGGAGAAAGCAGCTCTTCTCTACTATCACCCTCTCTTAGGTCTACCTGCAACTGTCTTGTTTCAGCACAGCCCTGAGCACGTCCTGGTGGGGGAAGAGAGAACAGAGGAGAAGCAGCCAAGCTTTGCACATGCAGAGGCACATACCTGAACCGTGGTCTCCATGGGCCACCCGTCCCACCCCCGGAAACCCAGAAGCTGATGAAGCACCACGCATGGAATGAGAACAAACCATTTTCTTTGCCTGCTTGCACTGAACTCTGCTACAGAGTGACTGTGTTAATTACTTCTCTAAGAGGGAGCAGGAAGCTCTGGTGCACACACACACTTAGCAGCTTTAAAAATAAACCCCAAAATTCTTCAGATGTCAAAAAAACACATACACAAAGGCACGTGCACACACACCTCACCTCCATCCGAAACAGTTACTCAGGTTATGTTATACAGCTGTTGCTCCGCTTGGAGAACTCCTCCAGCCTCTCCCCCAACAGGGCATCTTGCCTCCGACCTGGGCACAACCCCTGTGCTTCCTTCCACACCGGCCAGAAATGCACAGCCTACCACTGCCTGTCCTCACTCCCAGACAGCTCCTTCCAGATCTTCAAGTGGGGCATGGAGGCAGAGCAGGCAAAGACACACGGTGGCGGGGATGGGTCCGAAAAGAGCACAGAGCAGCCTTATCAGTGATATTTGGGAACACAAAGACTTTTTCATGAGAAAATAATAAGAATTAAAAATAGATCATATATTTGTACTTATCTTGGAGGCTGGGAAAGGCCAGAGATGGAGCTGATGTCCCAGATGTCAGAGGTCCCCAGCTTTCTCCCAGCCCTATGACACAAGGCTCACTGCTGCACCTCCGCCCCAGCAGAGTTCACAGGAACGGGGAGCTGCCCCAGAGGAACATCTGAAAAACCCTGCTACAAGCTCAAGGGTTCAGAGAAACTCCAAATCCTTCCCATGCTCCTCCACCCCAGTCAGCCAGCAGCACATCTGGGAATCCATCTTCTTCCTTACCACCCAGCTCCAGGGATGCATCCAGCTTCAATCCCCTCCTTGCACGTGCCCAGTGCCTGAGACAACGCACAGACCCCACCGGCTGCAGCCCTGCACGGCGCTGCATGACAGTCACACCCTAATGCGCCTTGGGTTAAACCCGGGCAGCTGGCAACAGCAACCAGCAGAGCTTGTCCCTAGCACGGGCAGAGAGGTGCTGTGAGTCTGTATTATGCACCACACCAGGCCTTGTGAGCTCAGGTCATTGTCCCCCGTGGAAGTGACAGGCCCCTGAGTGGCGACAGCAACAGATGAAAGGAGGGTGGTTGGGAATTAGGATTTTCTTTCTTAGACTAACCAGCTTCTTGGCTTCAAAAGCGTCTCGCTCATCTCGAAGTTTCTTGTTCATATCTCTGCTCCAAAGGAAGACACAGGAGAGACATAACGAAGAACTCATCAAAAAGCGAGTAAAGACCCCAAATTTGAAAGCTAGGACAGAAAGGGAGCTTGGGACACAGATAAAGATGCTATTTATTGCCAGACATGTTGGGATTTCCATGTATCCCAGCTCAGGGCTCCACATGGTCCCCTCAGCAAGCAGGGAAGGCTAAATCCCTCCAGTGGAGGGATTACTTGGTGAAATAACACAGCCTGTGCTCTGCCAGAGCTGACCAGATTGTGCAGCTCAGTCTGGACCTGGAAAAACAAGCAGAGCCTGAGCACTGCTTGAACCGTGCCCGTAGCCTTCTGGGGGAGAAACGAGCACAGTGCTGAAACCTCAGCCCCTCACGTGCACAAGAGCTCAGCATCTGCCCCCAGCCCTGTTCTTACCTGAGGAGCTCCAGCTGCCGAAGGAGGCTTTGTTTCTCTTTCTGCATGTTCTTGGAGACTCTGAACACATCCCTGAGTGAAAGGGATTTTAAAAAGGTAAATAAGTGAATGGGAGAGGAAATACAAAGATCCCTTTCTCAGGGACACTCATAGTATCCTCAAAGATAAGGGTCTGCCCTCTGCTAGGAGGATTCAAAGGAAGCAGCTGTGCTGTAGGAACTGGGATGGCTGGGCTGTACCCCAGCTCTCCTCCAGTGTGAGGGCAGGTAACCCATTTTCTCCTTTCACACTCCACTTTCCTCAGCTGCTAGAGATGGGAAGGATGCTCACTGCCATCTGGGTCTGAAACACCCCAATATTTCAGCTAAGTGTTATTAGATTAAGCCCAGAAACAGGAACACAAGTGAGCAGAAGAGGATCTGTAGGGAGTTTATAGAAGTGTGGGTGAACTGGATATGTGGAGAGGAAGCCTCCCTTAGGCTGAGGAACATGTGTATTTTCCACAGTGCTTTTGTAGCTACGTATCAACAAACATACTCCTCTCCCACTAGAGGCAGGCAGGAGGTAGCCGTATCACTCCCTTTCTAGGCCCATAAGACTACTGAGATGTTACTACTTTTCCTCAGGAAGAGACAGGCAATCCTCTGATAAGACCAAGACTTCTAATTAGAGATCATTACTCTCTAACAACTTGTCCACCCTTCCTTCTCTATCTGGGTCCCTACCCTGACATACCCCCCTTCCCTGCCCATTCCCACCTGTCCTTCTGCTCTTGCTCAAGCTGGGCCTCTTTCTGGAGCTTCTGTAGTTGTCCTTTCACTGCCTCCAGCTCCCACTTGCTTTTCTCCAACTCTTCCAGAAGGTTTTCATTCAGGTGACGGAGGTTTTCGTTCTGCACCCGAGTCTCCAGCTGCTCTGAGTTCAGAGACTGTAGCTGATGTTCCAGCTGCAATGGGAGAGGAAGGGTTAAACACAGAAAGGAAGGGGTTTGCGCAACAATCATGGCTGTAAAAACAGGCTAAAGAAGAGGATGCAAACGAGGTGGAAGGTAAACACAGCTTTGGTCTACAGGACCACCAGTGGCACCAATAAGGCGAATTGGAAGCGATTATTATCCCCCATGCCAGCACTGGGGAACAAGCCATGCAGTTCGGCAGGCAGAGCTGAGGAAGCGCTTCGGGCGGCAGGAGGAGCTTGCTGCTATAGGCACTGCAGAAATCAGAGCCCAAACCAAGAACCGCTGGAAACATTTGGGTGGAAGTGGGGGCACATCCGTCAGGAGCTATTAAGCACGGCTGTTGAAATACTCTGGTTTGGGGGTTTCCTGAACCCATGGCAGCTGAAAGGGGGATATATGTAGGTGTTAGGGGTATCCCACATTACACCTAGAAAGTCAGATGGTTGGGTGGCCTTTACCACTTGCTGGAGACAGGACCTGGGGCTAGAGACCTTGTTTAAACACCACTGGGGCACAGTTACGCTCTGGGCAGCACAAGATGCCAGCACAACTAACAAGCCTGATTTAAGAGGCTCAAAGCCTGCTGTCATGTACTCAAGCAGTGATGTGATTCCTCACAAATGGCTGGTGTAGACTGGGAGAGTCGCAGACAGCTGGCAGCAGCCGATCTGCCCATCTCAGACGGCAGGTAGGGCATCCAAGAAGGACCATACTGACACCTCAGCCAGCCCATACCGGCTCACCAGGGCTCTCTGCTGAAACTGGTGCTACACAGAACTGTAGTAACCATCTGAGAACTTAACAGCTCCAAAATAAAATTATATACTTCTGCTCTGGTGAGACCCCACCTGGAGTGCTGCGACCAACTGTGGAGCCCTCAATATCAGAAGGATATTGACCACTTGGAGCGAGTCCAGAGGAGGCCACGAAGATGCTCAGAGGGCTGGAGCACCTCTCCTATGAGGAAAGGCTGCAAGAATTGGGCTTGTTCAGCCTGGAGAAGAGGAGGCTCTGAGGAGACCTCATTGCAGCTTTCCAGTATCTGAAGGGCCTACAAGGGTGCTGGGAGAGGACTTTTTACAAGAGCCTGTAGTGATAGGACAAGGGGTAACGGGTACAAATTGAAAGCGGGGAGGTTTAGATTAGATATCAGGAAGAAATTCTTCACAGAGAGGGTGGTGAGGCACTGGAACAGGTTGCCCAGAGATGTTGTGGATGCCCCATCCCTGGATGTCTTCAAGGCCAGGCTGGATGTGGCTTTGAGCAACCTGGTCTGGTGGAAGGTGTCCCTGCCCATGGCAGGGGGGTTGCAACTAGATGATCTTTAAGGTCCCTTCCAACCCAAACCATTCTATGATTCTATGCTTGCAAGCAGGGGAGCACCAGGAACCGGTTCTGACCAGTGGAGCGTGTGGCACAGCCCCCGCAGGTGATGTGGCTGTGTTTGACACCAGCACAAGCAGAATGCAACGGGAGATCACATTTCCTAAAAGTTCCCAGAAGTTTTGAGCACAGAGCCAAGCTCAGCCCTTTAAACACCACGTGTGACAGCTTCTTACCACACAGACATAAAGTTAGACAAGGACACGGAGAAGGGGCTCCTATGGAAACCCATTTGTACCACCAGCCTGCCTTTTCTGCACCTTGCGATAGGTCTCCCGAAGGGGAAGCGAAGCAGCACACTGTGGCACAAGATAAAGCACATTTTTGGTGCTACTCTGCTCTCTGCCACCACACAACAGTCACGAGCAGGAGTGAACAGAGCTGACCTGTCCTAGGTTCCTTGACACACACAAGTCCCGCCTCTCTCCCTGCTGAGGCCACAAGCACAGCCAGTCCTGTCTGGAGACTTCCAATCCTTCCAGCATCAGGGAAAGTTTGAGCATAACCACTTAGGCTGGGCAGGGCAGCGGAGACTACGAAACAGCAACCACTGCCCACAGCCCTTGGATGTCTCAATAAGCCAGGGGACAGGCTGTAAGTAAAGCACCTGCCTCCCCCTCTCTATCGCACACAACTCTCCTGTTTGTGTTGCCTGTGCTTGGAAGTACAGCCCTAGAGCAAAGAGGAGGACAATACCGCAGAATAGCACCATCACAATACTGGTCTTACGCCACAAGAGGGACCTGATGATCCACATAAGTTAGTACAAGCCCCCGAAATGACCGTTTGAGTAAGAGTAAGTGTCCATGCAGCCCAGTACTCTGCCTTGACCCACAGCAAGAGGGGGATGCTACCTAGGAAGAGCATGCCTGTACACTTAAATACGGTCCGTTCCCCTCATACACCCCCAGCAGCTATAGTCCCTGGAGAGGGATGACAGAGACCACATCCCTGACTACTCCTTCTTTTAATAAACATTTACAAACCTGTTGTCCATTTGTTTGTCCAATCCAGTTTGAACTGCTGATAGCTGCCTCTGGCAAAATATCCAGCACTAAACTATATGTAAAGGGGTACATTCTTGTTAATCAAATTCATATTGGTCTCACTAAGTGTCCCTCACCGCTGCTGTTGCAGGGTTTTAGGGAATAACAGTTGTATGTGAACCTTATCCCCAACCTTCCTGAGTTCATAAAGCTCACTTATCTCTTCCTTCAGTCCCTTCCTCTCCAAAATCAAGTCTAAGCTTTCCTAGTTTCTCTTTCTAAGTCAGATGCTCCATTTCCTTAATTGTGTTAGTTCTCTGTACCTCCATACTCAAGACAGACCCAGTGGAGTTAGAGCAGACCAGAAATGAACACACCAATTGAGGCACATCCAGGGTGTGGGCAGCAGGAGAATTACATCCTCTGTCTTATTCTCCACATCCTTCCTGATGGCTCAAGTTCTGCTGGCTTTTCCAGCAACTGCGCAGTGAGCTCATGGTTTCGGAGAAGTGCTGTTCCATCTACATCACATTACTGCATCCAACTTGGATACTCCCAGCCATCAGCATCTTACAGGTACCTCCCATTACTTATGTGGGGGTCATGTCTCAGTTCTCCAGACAAGATGGAAAAAGACATCCAGAATGGACCATGCTGTACAAATTGTCCATGCCAGGGGCAGCAGGCTAAAGGAAAGTTTCTGCTTGACCTTTTCTGTCACTGATTAATCACTACGTCATTAGGTGCTGAAATGCAAATATACAGTATGTACAGCTCTAAGCCTCACAGGACTGTTCACTCTGGGTTATTCTGGAGCAGCCAAAAAACGCAAACTAGAGAAATTTGGCTCCAGTATGTCCATAAACAGCTTTCTTACGCACCACAAATGCCTCCAAACTTACAACTTCCAAATTTTCACCATATTGTACAACTGACAGGAAGATTGTGCCACGACAAAATAAAGCAGATAAGAAAATGCACGGACAAAACATTCACAGGAAGACGTTACAGTTGAAGACAAACCAATCATTTGACAAGCCACTGCAACGCCTTCAGAGATGGGAGAGAAATAGACTAGCTAGTACCAGACTAGCTAGCACCAACCCCCAGCAGACAAACCCCATTTTCAGTCAGTAAAGGCTTTAGGAGAAGGACAGTAGAAGGGGACAGGCTTCCTTAGAAAGGGTTTGGGTCCTGCTACCTTCTTCTGACGGTATAGGATTTTCTCCAGCTCCTGCTCTTTGCTGCGCAGTTCCTTCTGGAGCAGGTTACTCCTGTCATGTCTCAGTGCGTCCTGCAAAGATACACAGCTGTGCATACAACACCCACCACGGTAAGAGCTGTTCCTTGGCCAGAGGAGCTGCCAACTTTGCGTCAGACCAGAGGACATTTGACTTCAGCCAACAGAGATGGAGTACCTGGCAGATCAGCCTCTCCCTTTCTGCTTTGATCTGTTGCTCCATTTCTTCATAAAGGCACCTGACTTCTCGGTCATGGTCTGTCTCCTTCCTACAAAAGACATGGTGCACACAGGTCAGGGGAGAGAAGGAGAATGCAGAAAGAAAACAGGGTGGAGGGTGGAAATAGATTCCCACTGACAGCTGCGTGGCACTGAGTGGGATTTTAACCAGAGCAAATGTTATGGGCAGGAACTGATGCATAACTAGCCCATGGGATCAGATCAAGATTAAGAGTAATTTTATTACAGCAAGAAAAATCTCTGTGTCCCAGAGATCTCTGTAACCCAGCCTCTCCTTGCATCTGACACAGCACCCAAGCATCAGCTGGTTCCTGACAGCAAATGACCATGATATTCTCCTTACCGCTTCAATGCTTGCTCCATAGACTCCTTCTCATGATTCACCTCCCTTATGTATGAAGAAACACGCAACAGAAACTCTTCAAAATTGGATAAGAGCTCTGGACGGTCCTTTCGTAGCCGAGCCCAGAGCTCCCGAATCTCCCGCGGACTGGAGCAAGCATACAGGAGAGAAGGAAAGCAAACAAGTTGGTGTCATCTTATGGACCATTATTCCAACTCCCACATGCGCCTGGGACAGACAAAACACCCTTCTCCCGTGATGACCTCCATGAAGTACTTTGGAGGAACTGCCTTGAAATATACAGAATGATTATACCTATAGACATTCTCCAAATAGATGTTTTTCTTTGTCTGCGTATTTGTCTCCCTTAATATCTTTCGTGAAAACAATCAAACAAAAACCAACCAAGCAGCTCGATTCCCACTGCCACCACTGCACGATAGCCTCCTCCTCCTGTGCCAAGTAAAAAGTTACTAGCCATTCATCAAAACTTTGTGTTTTAGATAACAGAGCATACAGAGTCCCGTTAAACAGAGCCATTTCTTCCTAGCAAAACCAGTGAAGACAGTTCAGATTCCTGCTCCGACACCAATCACCTTCTGTTTTCTATCACTTCTTTGCAGCTGGCTCGCCACAAAAGCATGACACAACTGAACTCGTTGCACAAAACTGCAAGTAAGTGGTCAAAATAAACCACAGGATAATTCCACTTTAACACCTGATGCATCTCAAAGCAGGGTTCTAAGCGGCAGAGCCTGTTTTTTTCCAGAACAGTAATTTGGCCTTTCACAGTGTCATTCCATTCTTTGAGGCATAACACCTTTCCAGAAGTTTTCAGGACAGCAGTTATTGTTTAGCATTAAAAGAAACAAGCAGGTGCTTCGGATCACAATGCAAATGAAACAACAACAATCTGTTTCAGGAACTCTGAAAGCAGCAAATTCCTTCACTCTCAGCTTCTGCCTCCTGCCCGTACCTGGGCTGCTCCCTGCAAATGGGCAGCACTGTTGGACTATGATGCCTGAAAGAAAAGGGCTGCCACAGATGTTTTGGGTGCCCCAGGCCCAGCAGATGTGCATCACTTAAGAACCATTTTTGCATCATGCTTCGCTTGGGAAGACCCCAAGGAGAGGCTGGATGACACTGCATCCAGCAGGCTCTACTGGGGCCACATGCAAGGGCATTAATATCAGATTTCAAGGCTCAGGTAAGCATCCCTTGCTCAGCTTAGCCTCTCACACTCCTGAAGATCCGCCCAGTCCCAAACAGCCCCTCGAGCACAGATCTTTCACAGAGACTCTTAGAACTAAGGTTATCTTACCATATGTGAACAGCCACCCATCATTTTGGAACAGACAGCACACTCATTCTCCTCACCTTCCCTGACCCTCACATGCTTCTTTTCATTTGCTGCATACAGATGGGCTTCCACACCAGCAACTGCTACGTTTTACAGCTGCGGTATGAATGCTAGCTTGGAAAATTCTTTGTGAAAAGCACTGCACCATAAGTAATTGTAAACTGACGAGAAAACCCAGACTTCAGTGCATTTGTTACCAAGCACATGAAAACCCCAAAGAGCAACACAGAAAACACAAGCAGTGCTTCAGAGAGCAAGCAGCTCAGTTCACCTCTTTGGTCTTTGCTGGTAATTTGAAGTTTTGGTGTTACAAGATCAAAACAGGGCAGAAGTAATGCCACGTGACTCCCCTACTTACTCTTCAAACACCTGGGCTGCTCCGAGCTGCTCCATCATGGAACAGAATCGTTTCTCTTCATCATCATCTGCCAGGTCCAAGTCATCTGACCAGCCTGACTCAAAGGTCTCCTCATGTCCAGAGCGATCCATTCTCCCAGCCTCTTGACACAATTCAATCCCTATTAACTTTCCTGGTGGAAGAAGAAGGGAAGAAGGAGAATAAAGAAAGTCAAATAGGATGTCATTTAATAAGCTGCTATTTAATTGCAGCCCAGCAGAGCTCTGTGAGAAGCTGCCTGTGCACTGCGGGTGCAGACCACGGCTCCTGGTCAGTGAAGAGCCTCCGTTCCGACGTCCTGAGCGATGTCAGCGTGCAGGCTGCCATGCCTGGACTGAAACTGGCTCCCAGCCCCACAGCAGGCTGTTAGAGCCCTGCTCACCACTGTGTGAAGATGATCTAGCAGCCACAGCCTTGGATTCTCAGCGTGCAAAGTACACGGCGTTGGGGCACTTTGCTCCTAGGGAGCGGCGCCGTGGGTTCAGCTGCCGATGATCCCACAAGCTCCGGCTGGGCACTGAATAGCACCGTGCCTCCGTTCTCCAGCTTAAAAAAAGCGAGGAGGAGATTGTTATCGCTCCCTCCTCATGTGCTACAGGACAAGGACCGCCTCTTGCTGGGATCCGTAGAGCATCCGAACAAAAAGAACTTAACCTCCGAACATCCCTTCCTGCCCCATCCCACGTACGGATCGCTTCCAGCAGCAGATCCTGTTTCATGCTGAGACACTAACGCCATGAGAACTCCATGCTATGCAAGGCACGTGACAAACGCCAGTGCTGGGAACAAATTCTTCTCAAAGAAAGAAATCAAGCAATCCTGTCCCGAACGCAGGCCCCCATCCTGTGTACAGCAGTCAGCCCTCCGTTAGCAAACATTCTTCTTTCCAAAACACAACTGCTGATTCAAAAGGCAGAAATTACATCCCAGCTACAGGGCCAGGAGCCAAGGATGTTCAGAGCACAAATGAGAACATGAAGCTGCTCTAAGGGGGAAAATATCCACAGTTTGTGTACCTCAAGCCACTTAACCACTTCTTCTCTCTGCACGTCCAGAACCCAGCCACTTCTCTCCCGCTCTTAAAATGTGCTGTAAAAGAAACCTGCAGTGTGGAGATACAGGCCCTACTCAGCCTAAAACCTGAAGCGTGGACAATTAATTAAGGAGATGGGATTAAGATTAGTCACTTTGGATGTCTGCTTTAAAGAAAGAGTCATTATCTCTCTCTTACAGCTGGGAAAATTGAGGTGGAAAATGATCTGAAGATTGTTTTGACATCCTAGAACAACCTCAGATTGCTTTAAATTGAACATTTTAAGTATATTCTTTTATCCCTTGGGCAAATGCACCTCGTAACCGCTCAGAGGCCATGGAAGGAGCCCTCTCAAGAAGCAGAGTTGATTGCAGCTTGAACCACTTCCCTTGATTTCCACCCTGCACACTCCAGAAGGCAGACAGCAATACTCCAGGCCAGACTCTTGACTTAGGGGCAAAGTCTAAGAAGGATTTCAATGAAGCCAGACACAAAGAACAACCAGAAAGAAAAGAAATGCAGAAGGGAAGCGTTTTGTCTAGACTGGAGCAAGCCCCACGGAGCCAGGCTACCAACACAGGACAACACCTGACAAGTGGGGGCTGACACAAAGTGGAATTTTGCCTACCTCTGCCGGCAACAGCACGGAGGCAGGTACCCTCATGCTGTCCATCTATGGCCATGGCTGGGACAACATGCCTCACACAATGTGATTTGGGAATAAACAGGTCATAACACAGAGAGGACTGAGGATGCCAAGTTGCCCAAATGGTACCCACTGACCTACACAGTGCTGGCCAGGAAAGCCCATGCTCCCGAGATGACCCTTGTTTCTGGCAATGGCAGCAGAACCAGCCAACAGGGCTGGGACGCGAGGCAGAAAGGCATAGTCAGCAGGCACTTAGTGAGTTAACACATTCCCAGAACAGGCTGGCCCAAGGCACAGCTTTCCATGGTTATTTCCAGGAAATCTTTACAGCTCCCTCCTTTCAGGGCTGGCTGCTTCTGGCCATTCAAATGGAAGCACCATTGAAGCACCCCCTCTCTCCAAGCTGTGAGAAAGCTATGAGCAACCACAATCCGAGCAGTCAGGACAGTGCAACTCAAGAGCCTCCTCAATCACTGCTAAGACCCCAGGACCACCTGTGTTCACTTGCTTTGACCTGATCCCACACCTATGTGTCCAAGAAAAGTGCCAACAGGGTGCAGATTTTCTGAGAGCTTACAGCCAGCTAAGGCAAGTAAGCACCCACAGCAAAGGTGCTATGGTCGTTCCTCCTCCTTAACACCTCTTGGACCGCTTATGCTGCTGGATGACAACTCTGGTGTAGGATCAGCATTCTCCCAGTGTTTGGAAAAGGCAACAGCAAGAGGAAAACAAAAGCTCGTTTGCCAGCGTGTTTGCCTACTAACAGGACTCCTGCCAACATCCTTGAACAGCACGGCATAAACCAGCTGGAGACAGTTGCCAAGAGGCGTATTTCTTACACTTCCGTCCCCCCACCAAACAAGGGTCCTTATCCAGATGAACAATTGTGGATCACATGGCCAGACACAGGCTGCAGGATGTTCCATCTCTGGGAGGAGACGTTCAGAAGCTGGTTCTGCCAGGCGGGCAGGTAACAGCTGTGGAAGAAGGCAACGCAAAGCCTCGGGAAGGGGGATAGCAGTACTGCACACACACCTCCACCAGTGATAGGCACATAAGCACGGGGCAATGCCCTGCATAGCTGGGTCAGCTTCAGCAGAACCCCTGCACTTTCTTTCTTACCAACATAAAGCATGGTGTTCCAGCTGGGCTTTTTCCTTGTTCTGCCTGCGTGCAGTCCTTACCTAGTCCCATGCTGAACTCCACAGGCGTCAGGTACCCATTATTGTTCTGTTCCAAGCTGTCAAAAACAGTCTCCAGCTGTTCAAGGGTTAGGGGGAGTTCAGTTTGGAGCCGCTGCAGAGACAAAAGAATGAACAAAATTAAGACTAGACTCAAGTGTTCCTTGTGACCAGCTCCTGCCCTGACCGTCTTCAGCTCCGGCCCCTTTCGGCACAGCATCCCGGCCAGGACGCCACAGCCTGCCAGTACAGCTGAGCAGTGACACAAATGCCTGTTCGGACCCACCGACATGGCAACGCTTTCCATTACTGGATGATTCAACCGGGACTGCAGAGAGGGAGCTTCAGGTTACTCCGTTTGGAAGGAGCTTGACCCTCTTCTTCCCCCACTTCAGAACTGCTGCCCCCCCAGGGAACTGCCAGCCTCTGTGACCACTGCTGCTCCCAAGAGAGCTCTATGGACACAGCAGGTACAAGCTCCGTCTCTTTGGAGGGAGGACAGACTTGTGGGTGTCCGGATCCAGTTCCCAGCTCTTGCAGATCATAAACAAAACATTCAGTCCATAGCAGAGGGTTAACCTTCTTCCATCATCCTCTGCCTGTTGGGACCTTATCCCTATTCCCACAATACAGACAAGGAACAGAGAGATTTCCCTTCATAATACATGTGTAGAGCACCTAGTATAAAGGGGCACCCAAAGAAGCTTCCAGATAATAAGTGGTGTAGACTAAAACCTCATCACTGTCCATTAAACATGCAGCTTTAGATAAAAGCTTAATAGATATTAATTTAACTGTACAAAATTCAGCATCACACAAAACAAAGTAAGTCAATAATTAAATCAGTACAGACCTGCCAAGTGTTAATTATAGATGAAGATATGAGACAGAAGAAAAACAATCCACATGTAGCCTTCCTATCAACCATTAAAACAAAACTCACAAAGATCTGTAGAGATTCTGTTAACGAACACTCCTTGTAAAAAAACCCACATTAGGCCTGAACTATAACTTTGTTCTAGAATAATGTGGGTTTTAGAGCTCAGGCTTTAGCTGTGATTGAAAAAAAGAAGTTGTATATACAGCTGGTTTTGTTAAGAGGTTGATGGATTTTTTTCATTGTTGACTGTGGGGTTTGTTTAACCTTAAAAATTTGGCACTGCAGTCCCACTTGTTCCAGGAATTCCCTGGAGGTCCAAGGCCCTCCTGGGATTTTTTGGTTCCCCGCAGCTGACCGTGGGCAGAGTTTGGCTCCCAGGAATCTGAATGAGCCAGAGCCCATGTGCACAGCCATGCTTGCCAAAAGCAAAGACACCCCACGTTCTCCCCTCTTCCACCACATATGACTTTACAGTTCCTCCCAGGAAAGAGGAAGGATTTTTTTCCTCACCTGCATGTCCACCTTGGTGATAAAACCCTTCTTGTCCTTGTCACACAGTTGGAAGAGCTCCCTTGCCTTCTCAAACATTTCCACCTGCACATCTTCCAGTTCACTCATTTGGCTGGAAGGAGCAGCACCAGGAGCCACCCCATTCTCCTGATCCTCTCGTTCTTCTTCCCAGTGGACATATCCCAAGGGGGCTCCTCTCTGGTTCTCCATCTTCTCAAAGTCTTCCCCACAAGAGCAAGCGCACACAGAGGAGCTGCATGGCAGGAAACAGAGAAACCCCAGTCAAACGTGACAGCCCACTTCCACCCCACGTTTCATCTACTTACGTGCCTTGTTGGTTTGAAAGAACCACTCAACACCTGTATCCTTTGATATGGATGGTACACACCGTCCACAGCAACACACCGTGCGCAACATGGGGGTAACCAAGCCCCCACACAGCTGTAACCCTCCACACCGCAATGGGCTCCAGACCCTGCACCAAGCCACAACGCTCTTTTGCCATCTCTCCTCCTCCGGCTGAGGCCTACGGGGCAGGCAGAGGTCTCTGCTGGTGAAATCCAGATGCCAAGAGAAGGCTTCAGAGGGTAGGAAGGGAATATTAGAGCAATACAGGTAAATCCATGTGGGAGCACAGGGACAGTCCCACATGAGCTGAGACAGCGGGCACCAAGAGCAGGGCCAGCTCCCAGCTCTCACACTGCTCCCTGGATGCCCTGACCAGGACGCTTCTCTCTGGTCTTGGTTCCTTAAGAATAACGTGCTTTTCCTCCTCCTGTTACCTGCCTGCACCACCTCGGAACACCAAGCCTGCATCACAACTGCAAGGGCCCAGAGTGGGACAAAGGCAGGGAGGAGGAAGGTCTGTGCAAGGGACGGAGGAAAGAGAAGGAGCAATGTCTCTCCCAGTCCTCTGCCACACAGGTCCCCTGGCTGGCCTTCCGCCTCTGACATTTGCTTGTTGATGCTTCTCACATCGTAACTCCATCTCCTTACACATTATTACAGCACAAAGGAAGGTCAGACAATACTTACACTGGGAAAAATTTACTAGGCTGGGCACTGCTACCCCTCTCTTGCCTCCCAGGCTCTGTTTTGAGAGCTCCTCAGCTGCCAAACAGAATTTTAATCTGAAATGTTCACCTTTATAGGAAGGAAACCACACAACTATGGAGACATTGCAGAGGCCAAAGAAAATAATTTCCATTACTTCCAAGTTACCTAAACCAAAAAGGTTCGGAATGAGAGCACCCCTGTAAGCACAGCCCTGCGATTGCAAAGAGGCGCACAACACACCCCGACCCACCTTCTGACTTCCTGACACCACGTGCCACCCCAGCTTTGCTTCAGCTACACCACCACCTTTTTTAAGCCTTGTTGCACTGATTGCTTTAGGCTTCTTCTGCAGATCTGTCTTCTGCATTGCAGGGCAGAAGCGAGCTGTGCAAGCAGGCTGAGAGCAGATTTAAACGGTGGGAGACAAAGAGGGCTTGAGGGTTGGTTTGATTTGGCGTTTTTTTTCATCTCGAAGAAATTAAAAGCCACATACAGATGCTGTGATAACAAACAAGGTAATTCTGTTTGCACTCAGTACGATGGGAGGATAAAGAGCATGATGGCCAGGAAGAATGTCACATGTGAGAACGATATGAAGCTGACACAAAAGGAGAAGGCAATTATGCGCCACGCTATTTGATTCCACTTATTACTGCTGGTTCATGAGCCAGAGGGTGGTTCTGCTTCAAAGAACAAGCAGAACACTTCACTCCCCCTTTTACATCACTGTTTTTTTCAGAGCATCTCCTTTTAGTGCCACTCGAGAACACACTTATTTAAAACTCTGCAGAAAACTACCTATAAATGGGTACTGTTGTATGTTCTAGTCAAGTAGCCATCCCTGGCAAGTGAGGGACACCGAGCTGGCCATACGCTTTGGGGAATACTGCAGAGGAAAGGAGGCAAGAAAGCATAAAAAGTAAGAAGGTGGGGGTGCCTTTTTCCCTTGCTGTTTTCCAAACCAACCCTCCTACCAAGCGCACGTGTGTGAAGCTTTTTGCCAGGCCCTTTGCTTCCACGGAGACACAGTGGGAGCACCAGCAGCACCCGGTACCAGACGGTTTGTGCAGGCGGCAGCTGTGGGGGGAACAAAACGGGAGCTCAAAGCAAGAGCCAGGATTGCAGAAAACAGCCAAAATAAGAAAAAGTGCAAATAAGAAACGTGTTTTCTGGAACATTCCTCTAGCTGCCTAAAAGACACTGAGTACCCCAGAAGCAAAGATGATTTTATACTTTCTCATTAGCAGCTTGATCGCTTCTATTTCAAAATCCAGAGCAGCCCACGCAGACGTCTCCTCAGCTCTGCTGCAGCAAACAAAAGGTTATACAAGGAGAATGCTGTGTTCTCTCTTGGAGACATATCTGCAAGCTGCAATCGGACCCATTACATCACTACCTCCAGCATCTCCTCATTCTATCCAAAGCCCAGCTGTCCTGTAGCTCCCAAACACTGATTGAACTAAAAGCCTCTTAATCAGAAGAGCTGGGATCCCGACACGGACAAGCATCTGAAAGGTTTTCACTCACATGTAAAACACCGAGCCCATTAATTCAGTGTTGGAGAGGCTCTTGTTCAAGCTGCTTCAAGCCAGATGTGGTTCTGTCAACGGCAAGACGGCACTTGTAGAGGAACAAAACAGCAAGTAATAGAGCCCCAGTAAGCAAAACACACTACAGCTCTGAGAGACTGCTGTTCCTGAGGCCTTTGAGCAGCTCTTCATCTCCATCACTACCTGTAAGGGCATTGCAAGGTATAAAAGCGGATGAGGTACAGAGCAGACCTCAGTCTAACAAGTGCCATCATACCTTCCCCCGTTACAGATCACCACTGCAAACTACTCGGGGAAGCAGCTTCATCAGTAAGATGCAGAAGACCACCGAAGGACAACTTTGAAAGAGGTTGAGGTCATTGCAGTAGTAAAACTGGGGACTGGTACCCAAAAGTGAGGCCAGCAGAGCTGGTCTGGGTGCAGAAAGATCAGCTTGGGAAGAGCCATGCTTGACTGACACAAGTAGAGGAGACAGAGAAGATAGGTCTGAGCATCTAATGCTTTTGCCCAGGCAAACCTGCCAGGCTCCCCCGGCAAGACGTAGCCAAGCCACCTCCGGTGACCAAGCCAGAACCTCCTGACAGTGTTAATTTTTTCAGGTCTCTTCAACCAGGACAAGATAGTGATTGAGTCAGCACCAATTAAGAATTAGTTTTGACACCTAGCCTGGAGCCAGGACAATCTCTGTATCTTGGGCTGTTGCTCTCCACCGTAAGACCATCCGAAGGGGTTATGGCAGAGTTAATCCAGGCCAGCATCTTGCCCTCAGTGGTGGCCATGAATGGCTGGTGAAGGAAGAATGACAGCAGGGCAAGCAGAGCGAAGGATTCCCCAAAGAGATCTACCAGCATCTAGCTACCATAAGCCTGGGGCAATTCCTGAGCCACACGGCTCCTCCCTCATCTTCCAAGACACTTGTCCAGCCTTCCTTTAAATCCATATGAAAGCATTCACTGTTCACGTGAACATGCTGATAAAAACAGGTTGCCTGCTGCAACCAGCGAGTGATGACTAAGCTTCCCGGGACTGTTCCAGTTTTCTGGGTACGTGGTTTGACCAGCACCCACTCCACAAGAGATGGAGTCCCAGCTTCAGCTCCAACAAGTGCTTCCTGCCACCTTCACATCTGGAAACCGTGGCAGAGACCAAAAACTGGGCCTGGGAGATCTACCAGGAAGATGGAACTGCCAGGGATACGTGGGCACCAACGAGCTCCAGTTGCCCTGGCCGGCCTCGGTGGGTAATGTTCACAAGAACCTCCACTCCCCCCACCCCAGGGCTTTGGCTGCCTGTGCTCAGAGTTAGCTCTGATACGGCGCAGTCCAGATTTGGGCAGTGTCCAACGTCTGAACAACCCGATACAGAACTCGAGAGAAAACCTGCCTTCAAAACCTGTGGGTTACACCAGGCACCTCATGCCACAGTGTGTGCTTGGGCCCAGCAAGCAAAAACTCACCTGCTCCCGCAAGACAACCTTCCCAGAGCCTGGAAAGCAAACACAGATCTTCTCAGAGAGCACAGAACAGGAAATTTGAGTGACAGTTAACACAGCTAACACCAGGTCTGGCATTTCTACACATCGGTAACTCAGACCAGTCTTATGTGCGTATTTTAGCCACCTGAGGCACAAACTGCAGTTTGCCCTGTGCAAACCTGTGCCAGGAAGTCAGCTGGATCCCACGGGCATGGCATTCTTTGGGGAAATCACAAGACCTGAATTTTAATCCTGACTCAGCTTGCCATATGGCCCTGGGTCAGTCACATTACCTGCCTGTGCCTAAAGACTGTCAGCTCCTCCAGTTTGATTCCCATGCTTGTGACAGCTGGCACTTTATTTTAACACTGGGTTCCTGGAGACAGGATAATTAGATGTGAAACTCAAGCATCAAAATAGTTTCAAAGCTGAAGAATGAAAAACTTGAACACAGAACTTGAAGAAACTGCAAATTTCAACACGCAGAAGAACAGACCCAAGGAGCTGTTCTGGAAAAGGGAGAAACTACTTTCAAGGTAGCATTACAGTGTCACGGTTTTCAACTTAGTGTCTCAAAAGCTTCTTGTCGCAGTACGCAGCGTCAGAGGTAAAGATATGGCTACAATGCTATCAACAGCCAAGCCCTTATCTATGTGACCGTGGTCACTGTGTGCACATGACAACTTTCGGGTTGTTTTTTCCACAGCCTGATGACAAGGAGGAAAAGAAAGTGGGGCGCACAGCCAAATTTTCCCCAGCCGGTCCTTAGCTGAGTCCAGTCACCGCAGGGCACGGTACACGCACTGAAACGCAGCATTCCCAGCAGTCCTGTCCCAGTGCAGGACAAGGAAGCAACAGTTCACAAAGGAGGAAGAACTAAGCACAACTGGCTACGTGGCCTACCCAGGATTACAGAGCAAGTCCCATGTTTGGGTCCTGTGGAGCTCTAAGGAAAAGCAGGATTTGCCTTCCTGTACCACTGAATTGTTGGTGGCGTGGTGGTGGGAGTATTAAAGAAGAATCATTGTAGGTACATAGTAGGTGTCCAATGTGTACCCCAAACAAAAGTGCTCAGATACTTGCGGGAAGTTTCCTCCTGTATCTCTGCCTAAGACAATATTATTAGAAACAACAAAAACACC